TATCATTAATCACCTAAATCTAAGATTTTGTTTCCCTTTGTGATTTAAGGTTTTATGTGAGAATATGTCATTCAACTAAATGTATATGAGGAAATTAAACAGAAACACTCACTGAAGATAGGGTAGAAGAAAGACTTTGCACTTAATCCCTTTTATCTTTAAATAGATCAGAACCTAAGCAGTTACAGAGTGTAGGGAACTGCACGGACTCACATCACCAATACCATCCCCACCAATACCATCCCCGGCAACACCTACATTATGCTCCCCAGGGCTGCGCTGCTCTTTTAGAAAAAATTAATTAAGCCCTGAGCTGACTCATTTGTCCTAATCATACACTGTAGAGCAAGCAAGCAAAGAATAGCAGAGCTTTTAACTCTCTAGGAGTTCAGTTCTTTCTCTATGGTTACTTTTTTTTTCTCTGCAATTTTCTTCAATAAAGGATACACTTGAATCATTAGAAATACTGAGAGTGATTATAATGATGACTGAAGAGATGGTGGCAAATTTAGAACACACAAAGAATTTTGACTTTACAAATCAAGGCTATGTTCCACAGTCTAGAGTAGGCAATGGAACCACATTTCTATGCATGTAAAAAACTTTTTTAAAAAGTGGTTAACAGGTAATATCTTTAATATTTATGGAAAAAATCTTTAGGGCCTCTTGACTGAGCCCATAACTAAAAACTTTCAAGACTATGTGAGAACTTCTTCAGGAAGCTCACTTAGATGCTTCTCACAGAGCAAAAAACCTCTTGAGCTTGGCAAAAGAAAGAGCTACCAGCTAGGCCATCATACCATTTACTATAAGATTGATTTGGCACCGTGGAAACAGTTTATGTGAAGACCATAAAAATAGAAAACCTCACCATGCTCCTTTCATTCCAAGGGTACACGTTTATATTTCTAAATCCAGTATATAAAATCACTAAGGGATACACACACTACTTTTATTTATTGTTTTTTTAATACCATGATTGGAAAGTATGTGTTATTATTTCTTTCTTCAATTTAGTTTCCATTTAATGTTCTATGCTCTTGCCCTAGACAAAGTTAAAGGGGATCAAATATGCGGTGATTTAGAGATTGATTTCATTGTCTTAAACTCTGGATATCTACCAGTAGAGGCATTTTACCATAGACTACAGTTGTGCTTTTCTAAGACTGATTTGCTATAAAATAGGAATCAGCAAACTATGGCTCTTTGGACGAACCTGGCCAGTTGCCTGTTTTTGTAATAGCCCGTAGACAAAGAACAGTTTTTACATTTGTAGACAGTTACATTTTAAATGGTTATATAAGTACCTATGTAATAGCCTCCATTTTGCCTCTTGGCCAGCAAAGCTTAAATATCTACTCTCTGGCTTTTTAGGAAAAAGTCTGCTGATCTCTGCTATAGAGAGTCCCAGTTGTATTTGTACCGAGACTAGCTATCATTAATGAGAAGAGCATTCCATTTTAAAACATCTATGTTAGTTGTTAAGGCTTTTATTTTCTAAGACATTTCCTTCCCATGCTTGATCTCAGCCCAAAAATGAAAACCAAAGTCATATTTATCTAACCAGATTATAAATGCAAATCTTTATAAAGAAATCCTTACTTTGCATTGCAAAGAACTGTTTTGATATTTTTATTAAATGTATGTCAAAAATGGCTTAGTTAATAAACTTTTTAGCTTTCATTTCAATAACTAAATTTGGGGCAAAAAAAATTATGAGATCCACTATGTAATTCTTTATACACATTGAAGTACAGATCTAAGTATATACTTTTACCATTTTTAATATTAGGGCCATTTCTTTACTCCAACCAAACTAATCTCAACTGGGCTTTTCAAGTGGCAGCAACAGAGGAACTTTAAGACATGCACCTTTTTAGTTGGGCACTTCATCGAAGCACGAAATGTATCCTTAGATAATAGGAACCAAATGGTACAATTTTTACAAGAGAGCTTTGAAATCTTTTGTCCCTTCAGAAACAGAAATTCTCAGAAATCATATACCTACTTACAAGCTGGTAAATGATTTTTTTCATGTTCTTAAGAAGCAAAATATCTTCAACTTTCTCTCTTAAGAATAAAAGTCAACATACCTATTCTCCAAATAGAGAAGATAAATGGGCAATTGTCTCAAGGATGAAGAAGCCTTAAGAAGGTGCAGAAATATTAAAAATATACCTTATATAGGTAGTTCAAGATTTAATCAAGATGGTGCTAAGGAAGTTAGGAACTACAAAAATTATTTAGAAAAAAATCAGAAGGAAGATTTTTCACCCTTTAAAAATTTTTGGCAAATAGAAAAGAATAATGCCAGTTTCAAAGAAAAATTGATGATGTTGTGAAAGTCACTATAATCCTTTAGCATCACCTTAGTATGTACATTTTTGTATACATATAACATTGTATTTCATTTCACTTATTTATTAAAACTGTTTCCCCCCATTCTTATAAATGGCTTGTGGATTTGTCCTTGCTTCTTTAAGAAGTGATTAAGTTTCTTAAAGGATAAGAATTTTATTATTTTTCTATTATTCTTCAGTAAGTTCACTATTATGTTCTACAGAATAAAACAAAATAATATATGGGACAAACTTAGGCTCTATTCCTGAACTGAATATACAGTATATTAAATAATACATAATAATTTTTAAAAATCAGGGAAGCCAATGTAGACCCAGAAGAGGTTTCAGATCTGGATCTAACCTTGAGAGTATGAACTTGAGAGTACATGCATGGAGTGGCGTTAGCTCTAGGCCACTGTGCCTGATATTTCCTTGCTTCTAAAAGATTCTGCTGGTCTAGTTCAGCACCTGGGTCTCGGTACAATGAGGCTATCGGTGCCAACTTTGTGGCAGATCCAAACCCTAGGCGAATCCCTAAAACAAATCATTTAAGTATTATGAAAATGATAAATAAATGATAAAGCTCAACAGAAAGATATTATAGTTTCTGCTAATATCTCCAAACTAAGGATGATATGCCACAAGAAGTTTTAGGTTCTCTAGGACCCACTCTCCCCATCAAATCCTCCCTTCTCACTGATGTTATACTACTGTGTTTAAAAAAACAAACAAACAAAAAACCTTTTTAGGTCTAAAATATACAAAAACTCTGCCTAGCACTTCAGTTTCCTCAGCTATAAAGTAAGCTTAGTATAAAAGTGTTATAATAAGCTTGGATAGAAGACGCTACATAATTATGATTTTTTTGCAATTATCTAATATCAAAAATATATAATTTCTTATTTAAACAAATAAACCTGGTAAGTGATATGGTCCATTTTACTATTAAGTGTATACTTAAATTTTATTTTCAATTATGACTTTAGCATCACTTTTAGTACAGAAAAAAGCAAGGACATATGTTCACTTAAATAAATAAAAGACCATATGTACAAGCTTAAAATAATTATAGACTCTAACTCTCCACCCTGGATTTTAGAAACCATCAATTTGATTTTCAAATTGTGCTATGCTTGCTAACCTTATCTGTATACATTAAGTGGTGATGACATCCCTCTAGGTCTGGAAAGAAATGGAACGAAGTTTTACTTGTCTAAAATAGAGACTAAGAATGCTAAAAACAAAAGGCGGCAGGTAAAGAAAAGATGTTTGGTTAATCTATAAGTACAAATACCGGGAAGGATTACTTCCTTTACATTTAAAAACAATGCCATTGCCAAATAAACATTCTGACAAAATATAACTAAAGGTAGCTTTACAACTAAGGATATATAACTGAATGTAAGTAAAGGAACTATCATTTCCTAGTTACAAAAGGCAGTTTCACCGAACTGCAAGGACTGTTCTGGATTTTCGCTTGTCCTCTGTCCGTCTTTATCCCTAAAACCATTCTCATTGTAATTGGTTCTTAAGTCTGAGTAGCCACACAGACATCCTGGGTGCTTAACACAGCTTATTGTTTATTTAGTGCTTTCAAAGTGGACAGGTCCTAGGATTGAACGACTGATGGATTTTTAAAAATTCTTATAACAATTCTAGAGAGTCATAGCCTCATTTTATAGATAAGGAAACTGAAACTTAGAAAAACATTAAGTAATTTAAATGAGGAAATATAGCTAAGTAGTAAAACCAGGATTCAAGCCCACGTCATAATGTTCTTGATCAGTAATTTACCATTAAAGAATGGCAATGCTGTATCATCTTTTTACTATATTTTTCACTTGACAGAAATGTCAGAATATTTTATGAACACTAGTATATTGAGCATGGAAATGTGTGAAATGGTTCTTCACACCTGTGTAAGCTAGGCACTTAAAGATAAAATTTTATTCTCTGGGAAAGGGCAGAGCTTATAATGAGATATGATAGCATTATCTGCAGAAACAGCTTTTGAAGAGTATGGAATGCAATACGCTTTAAAAGATTTACTTTATCTACTAAAAATAAGATATATTCGTATGATCACACAAAATAAAAAATGAGAAAAGTAATGAACATGTGAGCAATTCTTTACTGTAGTTATGTTTGTTATTTGGTGTAATTTTTCATTTTCTAAACTGAGTTATTCAGGAGAAATCACAGAAAAACATAACGTTCTCAAAAAGAGAACTACTATCACACTACCTTAACCCAGGGTCAATAGAAAAGCAGAACATTTAAAAAACTGAACATTAAACAAAACAAAACTGATAAAGGCCAGGCTGTCTACAGGGCAATCTAACAGCTAAATATAACCCTGACTTCATACATAACCTGTTGGTCGTTCTCAACATTCCTTTCTCTTGATCTGTAAATTGAGGAGCAAGTCTCAGTGCTGGAGATACAGAGCAATGAGACTTTTTATTCCCCTCTTAATGCAGTTTGCTTAAAGAATGTAATACATAAAATCATTTACAGTTTAAAAAACTCTAAGTTTATACAACTGAGACACTCTTAGAGAAAGCAACTGTAAAAAATGGAGAGATTCCTTTATGTGACTTCAAGCAAAGTCTGTGAATTGTATTTTTTATAGTTCATTTTAATTAAAAATTTACCAACCTGTCACCAGGTCCGGCTCGATACCTTGCACCTGGGATTAGGACGGGGTCGTCATCACTGTCATCTGTGTCCTGGAGAGCAGAGTCCCTGGCTAATGCTTCTTCATGAGCCAAAGGCCCGATGGCTTCTGTTTGTGATGGAGGCTCAGGACTGGTGGTATTCTGATTGGTAGCACCTTCAGTGCTAGTTTGATTGGAAGTTCCTGGTTCCTTGCCTTGTTCAGACAAGGTGGATTCTTCTGGAACCCCAGAAGAGCTATCAAGATTGAAGTCATTTCTTTCTCCTGAGCTGGAATCCGATGGCTCAGATGTGAATTTATCTGGTTGTGCTGTCAGAAAATAAAGTAGAAACAGTTGGTCATGTCGGCAACATTGTTTAATCTAACTTGAAGCTCTCCCTATAGGAAGAGGAGAATTCCGTAACACATCTATTTGGAATCTGCCTCTAACTCAGGCGAGAGTAACAGAAATTACAGCTTCTTATTTTCCCACATGAAGCAATTATCTAAAGAGAACAAGACAACTCACCCATTTCTAAACGGTTCTCAACTGTGTTTTCTGCAGATGTACCTTCCTGATATGTTGTCACATCCTCTGATGATTCTTCAAGAGCTTCTGGGAAATAAATAAACCAAATTACCATTAAATCCAATTTTTTTAAAATAAAAATAAACATTAATTGAAAATGCTAGCTTTCCTCTGTATAAGTAGCTCTTAATCCTTTCTGGATCACAGAAACTTCTGACACTCAGATATAACCTCCCTTCAGTAAAATGCAAATTGTATATGCAAATGTATACACCAAACTGTACAAACACTATCAAGGATGGATGAGCAATCCTGCCCACTGCCGCCTCCCAAAGCCCATGCATGGACCTTCATGAACTCTTCGTGAAGAATTTCTACTTTAGATTACCCCTCACAATTGACATTACTTGGTCTTGCCTTTTTGCTGAACTTCACAAATTCTAAACTTAAAACTGAGTATTTTTCTATCCCTTTATCATACATCTGGTATAATCTCAACTATCATGAACTAATAGTAAAGTTGACCCTACTATAAATTCTATTTTGGCCACTGAAAATATTTATGTCTGGGATTTAACTCCAAGACCATAAGGGATCAGTCTTTTTTGCTCCTGACTGCACATCTGCTTACCAGACAGTTGTTTTACACATATTTAATTCTTGTAAACTGTTACATTGAGGTATCTATTCATTTAATAAGAAGTAGAATTCATTTATTCCTTCATTTACCCAAGTATTTATTGAAAATTTACTGTGTTCCAGGCTCTGTACTAGACACTAAATTTCATATAATGGTCATGGAAAATATTCTAGGAAAGGTTCTGAAAAAGTCCCTAAGTGGCATTTCCTGTATGAAATTAAGATTCACTCATAACCCATTAAAATTTTATTCCTTTTCCCCCCCTTTACAAGCCACCCATAGTCTTTGAAAAAATCAAGGCAGATACTTTGGATTTTGCTGCTAAGTATAAAAACAGTAAAGATCATTCAAACTGACATTTACATCTCACATATTTTCAGTGTAATGACCACTGTCCTGGCCGCTGTGTCCACAGAGAGACACCATGCTTCACTGTGACTCCCCATCTGAAATGTGTAAGGCCCCTGCCATTTGCATTTGCTATCTGTTCATCAATAGTAATGTCTGGACTACTGAGGCAAAGGGAATTTATTAAAAATAAGAAACAGAACTGCGGCACCGAAGGAATAGGAAAGTAGATGGACATCCAACACTGGGGCTTTGTAATGACAAAAGCAAACAACACCTTACTTGTGTCACTGTCTCCCGGTGGTTGCACAGAGCTCTCTGGGGCCAAGGGTTCTTCCTGACCCTCTGATTTGCAGTGGCTCCCATTTCCTCTAGAGCTTGAGGCAGTACTGCTCCTACCATAAAACAAAATAAGTGGTTCCACCAAGAAGTTAATAAATATGAACTTTTAGGATGATTTTTATATTTTACAATTAGAGAAACATAAAAAATTCACACCACAAATAAAATATAGAATTTATTATTTTAATAGTACTTGTAAAACACCACTTTTAAACATCAAGGTGATTATTCTAATCCTCTTTAACTTTAAAAAGGAGATTTAAAAATACCAAAGGACCACCACTTCTTCACGGTTTTGATGCTTCTATAATCAGATATATATTTCTATACATTTCTATTGAATTTTAATTTAATTACATAGACCCCCATCTTGTCCTCACCACAGATGGTTCACCGCATCCCAATTCTTCCTGGTTTTATGGACTTCGATCATATGTCCTTTCAGACTTTGTTGTTCTAGGCTACTTTTAAATTAATACTTGAAAAGAGACCCGGATAGTTCTTTGGTCCTTGAACTGCCCTCTGTGGATCATATCCACTTCTGGATTGTTGTTCAAATATGGCAGGTGATTGAGCACCATGGTTTTGCAGAAGGCTAGGATAATGTTTCATGTTTTAGTTTTAATACTTACCTGATAATGACTATAATTCTGTCAGCATTTTTGGCTACAGCAGAATACTAGGTAGATTCAAATAATTTTCAATGAATATTCTGTGATAAATCATGGCATATGTGTAAGGTGGGGATTGAATGGGAAAGAAAATAGAGGAAAATGTACAATAATCTAAGATTAAAATTAAATTCATAGAAATGCAATAATTTCTTAGATTCAGAATAAATGTGAACAAGAAAAAAAAGCTTAAGAGTTACAGTACTTAAAAACTGTTACAGACATAGAGCAGTGACTCAATGAACAATGCAAATTATCATGGACTTTTGGCCAAGATTTTATAAAAACTCTTTTAGGCTAATTGCAGAAGTCAATTTGATTTTTTTTAAAGGGCACCCATGTATAATAGGATATGTTTTTTAAAAGAATGCATAATCTACATGGGCATATATGCGAGAATGTCAGAAAGGATGTGTACCAATGTTAAGTGTCATCTCAGTAGGATTATTGCAAGTGAGTTTTTCCATACTTTTCTCTAGATTCTGAATTTTTTTTTCAACGAACATGTTATTTCTTTTTAACCAGAAAGAAATATATAGCAATTTTGGTAAAGAGAAGCCAATGTGATATATAAATCTTTTTTTTCCATTGAGAAAGCTATGATACAGGCATAAATAAAATGCTCAGTGCATAATAGTTTTGATAGCTGAAACACAGTACTGATGTAGGAAAACAGAGCCATTAGTGGAAAAGACAATGTAACCAAGTAAATATATTTAGCGTATGTTAATATGGCATTTTAAGTCACAGAAATAATAAATTGTTCAATAAATGGTACTAGGACAAAGGAACAGTCATGTGGAAAAATTAAGCTATAGCTCTACATCATACTTTATGGCAGAATAAATTGTAGAAGCATTAAACACATATTTTTGATATAAAGTCACAGAAATATAAGAGGAAAATAAGAAGAAGCTTTCCCTCTAATCCTGGGAAGGACAGGCTTTTCTAAGCATGAGCTCACAGGCCGAAACCATAAAGCAAAACTACCATAAGTAAACTGAAAGACAAACAACAAACTGGGAAAAGTATTTGCAACAAATGAAAGACAAATGGTATCATCCTCACTTAATTTTATAATAAACAGTTCTTATAAATCAGTAAGAAAAAGATTAACATTGCAGTAGAAAAACGGGCAAAGGATATGAAAGGCAATTTACAGAAGATGATAATGTAAAGCTGACCCCTGGGCCTATCACGTGCCCGTCAATGTGCTAAGTGCTATGGACTTTTTCTGTGTGATCTCATTAAATCTTCCCAACAAAACTCTGAAGTAGGTTCTCTTAAATATGCCCGTTTTCAGATGAAAACACTAAGATTCAGAGAGGTTCAACAGCTTGTCAAGTTTAACATCTAAGCTCTTAGTGGGCTCTACTCCCTCTTCTATCATCAAAGAAACTAAAATAAAAGCAAGACACCATACTGGCAGAGATGAAAAAGACTGCCTTCCTGAATTCTCCTTTTACCATTTTCTTCTTTTTTCTTTCTTAATCAGAAAAAAAAAAGCTAATTACTTTTTGATAAAGAAATAAGAAACTAATGAATGAGAGAATGTAATTCATGGTCAGTTTTTAGAGAAGGAAAAGTAGCATTCAAAAGAAGAGTGGGACTAAAGATCTTTGCTAAAAAAAATGCTCCAGTGAGATTCTTTATAAAAAATCAGCCTTTTCTATACAGAAACTAAGAGTAGAATAGGAAAGACATAAAGAATAACAATCTTCTATGATCTTAAATTACTTATTAAGGAAAAGGGCCACAGATATCATGCAGGATTATAAGAAGTTGAGTTCAAACGCTAGGGCTCATAAAGAAATTAGAAATACTACTGACTGTTCAGCCTTCAAATATGTATCTAGAATCCAATTTCTTCGTACTGTCTCCACTGCCCTCACCCCTCTCACCTTTGTTATTGTCAAAGTCTTCAACTGGCCGCCTGGCTTCTACCTATGGCCTAGTCTCTACACAGCCATCAGAGACATCCTCTATCCTTTAAATATGCTCCTCATGTACCTGGCTGACCATCTTTGCCACTACTTTCTCCTTTGGTCACTCCACTCCAGCTACACTGGTTTTCTTATTCCTTGAATGTACTCCATCTCTTCCTGCTTCAGAGCCTTTGAACCAGCTTTCTCTCTGCCTATAATGCTCTTCCTCCAGATGTATGCATGGCTCACTCCTTCTTACCCTTCAAGTTTTTGTCCAAATGCCATCTCCTCAATGATGTCTACCCTTGCCCGAGGTCTCCCAATCACCCCTTACTTGCTCTATTTTCTTCCATAGCACTTAGTACCTCCTACCATACTATACAACTCCCTTATTTACTCTGTTTATTGTCTATCTTCCCCTAGAACGTAAGTTCCAATAGGACAGGGGTTTTTGGCCAGTTTTTTTCACTGATGTATTCCCAGTGTCTAGAACAGTCTCTGGAACATAGAAGGATTTCAGTAATATTTGAAAATACTACTTAATCAAAGATTTTAATGTAAGATACATACACATATAAACACAAATGGAAACCAGTGAATTGGAATAAATAAATAATATCACATGTCAACATATAATTATATATTAATAAATAATATATAACTACATATTATTTATATATTATACCAGCATATAATATATAATAATATACAATTGAATATATTAATGTAATAATACATTAATTATGTAACATAATTAATATATTGGTTATAAGATGTTCAATATAACTGTTACATATTAATCATATAATTATATTAATATATAATTAATTATATATTAAGCAAGATTATATTATCTATCTATATTATCTATATATTAAATCATATATAGATTAAATTATATATCAATGAACTTAACAAAACTTTGGATGCTGTCTCAAGCAAAAGGCCATGAGACAGTGTGAAAGAATATAAGAAGCTCACATAACTTGATTTTTTTAAAAACATAAGATTTAACTAAATTAATAAACCATAAGTATAATCAGAAATGTCATTAAAGAGAACCTAGACAAAATATCAAGTTCAACCTTACTATTAATCAATTAAATAAAAATGACAATTATTTTAAAATCAAATACATAAGTTAAAAATAAATGAATATACTGATATTGAATACTGGCCTGGGGACCGCACATGTGTGTGCTTTCCTATGCTGCTGGGAGAAATGCAGTGACAGAAGAGCCCTTTGAAAATAATTTGGCAATATCCTTTGACCTGGATAGAATTCAACTTCTAAAAATACATCTCAAATCAATAATCTTAAAGGTAGGAAAAAGCTTGTAAATGAAGATATTCGTCATTTTAAAAAAAGGCAAACAAATTCACTGCCTGATGAAAGGGAAATGGTTAAGTAAATTATGGTAAATCTAACTGATGGTATAGTACACAGCTAGTAAATATGTATTTATAAAAATTAAGTAGAAATGTGGAAATATTTATTACAGAGTTAGGCCAAATAAATGCAGGAGAGAAGAGAATATGTTCAGTATGATTAAAATTACATTTTAAAACCCAAAATCAAACATACATACATATATGTATATATGTGTGTACACACACACACACACACACATATACACACACACCTGTACACAGGACTAAGACTGCAAAAAGTTCCAAAATGTTAGGTTTATTTTTTGGCACTAATAGTCTATTGGTGATTAGTTATTTTTTTAATCTTTTGCATTTTCTATCAGAAGAAATATTCCAGGACCAACAACATCAGCATCTCCTGGGAGGTTTTTAGAAATGCAAATTCTCTGATCCCACCTCAAACTTAACCAAGAGTGGGGCCCAGTAATCTGTGTTTTAACAACCTCTTCAAGCCATTCTGAAGCACACTAAATTTGAGAACCAATGCATTACAGCAAAACAAAACATAAAGATGATGAAGTGCTAAAAATAACATCTAATACAATCCTACAAAATGGCTAAGAAGAGCTTTACAAAAATATTAACTTACCATTCATCTGTAAAGTTCAGTTTTATTGTGCTTGTAGTTGTTCCTTCTGTGCTGTAGTGCAAACTTAAAACTGGTTCACCTGTCCCTGGTTTGGGGCTCAGCTTTTCATTATTGTTATCTGAAAATTGTGTTTAAAACATTTGAAAAAGTCTCTGAAACCAATAAAAAGATGACATTTCCTAAAATTTATAAAACTTAAATTAGGTTGTCCTTGTCATAATTCTTTCTCACATCTGTTATGGTTCTCACTTAAAGTTCAAAAGCAAGTGTTATAGAAACACTATTTCAAAGTGGCATTGCATCAAATTCTAGTTTTGTGTACATGACTCCCTTTGATTCAGATGGAAAATTACACACATTTGAGAACCATATTTAGTCATTAGGAAATCAAAGAATATTAACAAGCAATGAAATATGTTAAAAATTGGTACTTTCATTTAATGGAATGCTCACTATTTTATTCTTTAGTTGCCAGAGCATCAAGAATAGCTAACATTAGCTCCTTCAGAAACACTGAGAAGATGCTGGGGCTCTGAAAGAAGTCATTCAGTAAAAATTTTGCAACAACTGAAGGTTATCAAATTCTTTCTGTTCTTTCAAAATCATAGATTTATAATCTAGAAAGGGAGTAAAGCCTGCACTCTATTGGGAGAGGAGGAAAAGAAAACGATGTGCTTTTGATATTTCTAAAATTCTCCTTGCTACAAGACCATATGTTTTAGTATATTTCCTCTTCCTCTCCTGACTAATCTTGCAAGGAATTTGTTTTCTAAATTATGGAAATGGTAATTTCACCTTAAGAGTCTACAGGGGATGTCCATGATATATATCTATCTCAACATACTAAATCTTTGTAAAATGGCAAATAAAATCAAGAAATCTGACAGAAATTGATAAAGGCCACTCCAGAATCATCCTTTCCCGCATGTCCCACCTCCCCCCAGCAAGAGTACATGGGTATTCAAAGACAAAATAAAATAGAGCTTTAAAATTTTTTCTTTTTATGATGATTAATAACTTGGGGAAACATTAATATACAGAGAAAATACAAACTGCTATATATAATCAAACATGTAACATTTCTGCCAGTTGCCTGCAGAAAGAATATGCTTCTGTGATATAATTGTTTTCTTGATACCCATTCAAGAACTGATACAACAGTACTAAAAATAAGCCTTCTGCCTTGGAAAATAACAACAAAGGCAGTAACAACTTCATAAAACCAAAATTACTCAGGTTTTTTGATTATTAGGTTCACTTTATATTGCAATGGACTTTTTTTTTTTTGCGTCCCTCTTGAAGACACTGGAGCACTTATTAAAAGAGAATCGGACAGAACCTCTGCTCTTTTATCCCGTGAGAGGGCAATTAACAAGACTTCAAATCAGAACTGCAGTAGAAAGAGAAAAGGATTCTGTCCAAGAGATGAGACCTCAAGCTGATAACAAACTCAGGACTATCAGTTCTTAGGCCTTCAATTCTAACTCACGAGAGATCCTCTCCTATGATATTAATTGGTATTTGAAAATAAAAGCATCAATGAATTATAAAGCTGGCCTCCCAAATGGTAAAAACACTTTGGTTCTTGTACTACTCTTGTTATGACTATGTCATTGATATAAACAGCTGTTGGAAATAAATTAACAAGCCATTACACAACTTTCAAAGATTCAGTGTTACATTCAGTGTTTTACAAGAGGTGTTTTATCAAACGTTATTCTGATAAAATAACTGAATTGACAGCTTACATAAAATTATCAAGAATGGGACTTTTAAAACATCTGTCCTACCCTTGACCATCTTTAAAAAATTTGCTGTTAGTTTTATGTCCACACATAGTTTTCCCTTATTCTTAATTATGTTGTTGAAAAATTTCTGTCCCCACTCCTGCCCAAATCATGGTCATCTTTAGGCACCTAGAACTGATGAGGACAGACAGCTGAAAGACTGAGAATGATCCAGGAAACCAAGAGGCAGAGCTGGGGCTCATTCTTTCATTATCTCTCACAGCACTTTATAAAGTGCTTTGCTATTTATTTTTCTTTTAAAGTAAAGAAGGAATAGAAAACAAAAGCAGGTGTGAGAGAACAGGACAGAATTTCTTACATCCACCTCAGTTACAGAAGCAGAAGTTTTAAAAAGCCATTTAAATGCTACTTCAAAATTTTCTGTTTTGAGTAAAATTAAAGAGACAGAGACTTGAATGCTATAATTATAGGAATATAGTGAACAAAGAGCTGTTCAGAGGTCAAACTGGTGTAGAAAATATCTTATTTAAATGTATACAACATCCCCTTCCCAGAAAGCAAGAAGCTTCCTGAGATGATCAATGTTAATTAAAACCTTCTTCCTTATGGTATCTACTACAAAGTTATTATTTAATCTCTCATGAATATAATCTACATATTGTAAATCATGTAAAACATAGTGGTACTCATTTAATTTATAAAACGACTATAGTTGACAGAATTTCTATATTTAGGTGGTTAATGAACTCACCAGGCCTGGGTAAAACTGGCCCATCGTTGTATAAACAGAGTGCACTCTTCTGTTAGCTACACAAACTTCAGACCCGAGTCTAGTTCATTCCTTGAAGACTGCACATAAATAATGAGCGCCTCTGACAGAAACACCACACAATGCAGACCTGAGGCATTAATGAGAATATCTATCCGAAGTGTAGGGTTCATCTCCTGGTTAGTTCCAGCCTACTCTTCCTACTTTAATACTCCTTTTCTTGATCACATACATCCTGTCATGTTGAGTTTTCTCAGAAATGTAGATTCCTGGCTTATTAGTGAATTAATTCACATTTTTTCTGATAAAATACATATTTTAAGCTAGAAATGTCAAAGAAAAATCAACTTTAAAAAACTAAAAAATTAAATGTTTCATTTAATTTTTAGCTGAAAAAACTTGTAACCATTTAGATTTTCCTTAGCTTGCTCTGTTTATTAGAGGCTGGATCAGCAAACGCAATCTAAAAACTGTATTATTCAAAGCCTTACTTACACAATGCCCAGAAATTTATAACTAAGATATTTCTTGCCTAACAGTAGAAGTTTTAATTTAAGAGCCTTCGAGGTTAGAACTTCACCTAAACAAATGACTTTATATAAAAGCACCATCATAATAGTAACTAAAATTCGGCATTACTATGCCCTAGGAGATCCATGTATCCTTGTTTAACACCTTTGTAGCATATAGCCCCATGTCTATTTTACAGATGATGAAACTGGTGATTCTGAGCTAGATGTTTTCACTCTAGTCATCTAGGCTTCCTTCTATGTGAAGTTCCTACTTGCTATACTGTCTTCGAAATAACTTGAATACGAAGTAGAAAATAATTGCTTAAATATTTCAGTTAAGAAATATCAATTGGTGGTGGTGTTATTTCTCAGAAATGTCTAATTCATATCAGCAATATTAATGTAACTGATAAAAGTTCTGGTAGCCCAAACTGTCACTTTGGCCCCAGAGTATTGGAAAACTACACTGTATCTTCTTGCAGGGCCCTTAGGGATTGAACTATTTCTCCTTTCTCTAAAAACATTATAGGAGAATAAAATTAAATTCTGGTGCTCTCAGCACAAGGGCAGTGTAGTGGGGGAAAGTCGCTTTTAATTTGTTCAACACTGCTAAAGTTTTAAGATTAAGACCAAATTTAAAGGGTCCTCTCTAGACTTGGTATAAGACCCCTTTCAGGTTAGTGTACTGACTCAGGAAGAAACTTCAGAATGGTCTGGAATATAATTTGAAAGGAACTTCTCTGAACTTTAATCAGATACTTTCTGAGCCTTTCACATATGAACCACAAATACATTTTTCTTTTTGGTAATGCATATGTATTCAAACCATTTAATCTGTGCACTGACATTATGAAACTATAATCATTTGTGGTTCTAAAAAAAGATGCTCAAAGACATACAAAAAATTAAGTGTGCTAACAGTAGTACAAAATACACTATCTTGGCAACTAGGTTTGCATATCATCTAAATACTGATATGGATGTTTTTTGGACTTCTAGCTAGGCTATCCCTTTCCTATATGTAAATTTAAAGTATAACCAAAGTGAAGATAATGAATGAGGATATGGCCACAATAATTTGTTTGGAATCACTCTGCCCAACATCTTTTCTGCCACTGGGACACTATCATAACTGTATAATCATACACTAATCACCCAAATAGCTTAGGTAAACTGGAGATAACAGAGAAATAGTATATTTTTTACTGAAAGTATTTTCTATTATGCAATGACCTTATTGAGACTTCTCATTCCATTATGTCAAAAGTTTAAAAAAAATTAAATCTAAAAAGAAACTTTGTTTCTCTGAATTCTCTGAAAAAATGTAGACACATCAATGATAGGGTTCAACTATCTCCCCAAATTTTGCTCCCCAACTTACTTGGCTTACACAGAAGAAAAGGCAAATTTCTCAAATATTGTTTCTAGAACAATGAAAAACTTCCATTTTTATAGGTCAGGAATCTGTAACTTTTCTGCAGACCTCAGACTATTGAATACCCAGTTCTTCCAATCATATGTATAAGAAGGTGATTCTGATTCAAAGTGGGGAAACTATTTTTAGGAGTAGATTCTTCACAGAAAACCCCTCTCTACCAAACACATGACTGCAAGACACGGCATTTAATTCTAAAAATTCGTGTTCTCACTAGTGTAATCTGACTTTATAAACTATGTTATGAAAGCCAAAACCAAACAAAGCTCAACTTTAATACTGGTATTTCTTCGTAAATCCCTCCTATAAAATCTTTTGGAAATAATATTCTGTTCAAATTTTCTTCCTGGCAATCAAAACTTAACCTTTATGTCAATTATACTAATTTTAATCCAAGAACTTTTTTCATCACATAACAGAGACACGTAAATTGAACTTAAGCATGGGTTGGGGATACATATATATTCAGACTGCCTGGTTTCATATTCCCAGTGACATTTAGAATTTATGGGTTGAAATGTAGTTGTCACTTCACCTAATGCTACCTCCAGCTCTCTTTCACCTGCTGCAGACCTGTGAGTCTTATAGCTTTCTGTGCATAAAAGTCCCTATTTCTCTTTCCCATTCAGTCTTGAGGGAGAACAGACAGGAAGA